ATCTTAAATGGGCATCAAAAAAGGCAACTTTTTTATAATTTAACTGACCTTGTAGCTCTTACCGTTTCGGATATAGCAATAGTGGTATCACTTAAAATATACACCCTGTATATTGGGCAAAAAAAAAAAATCTGTCGTTTCCATTCTTGGGCCAATATGTAAATATAATATTTTACCAATCTTGTTGTGCTACTGGGGTTACTTGCCCAACACTATGCTTTTATGTTTGTAATAGAAACTATCCAGAAAATATTTCCGTCATAGGAAAATTTTAAATAAAATCTCTCCAACCGATAAGATATTATACCTACCATATTATTAAAATTTATTTTTCAAGAGATCTTATTTAAAATTTTCCTATGACGGAAATATTTCCGGATATTTTTTATCACAAACACAGTGTTGGGCTAGTAATTACTCAGTGACTACTTGTCATTAAACGTATTTAAAATTCTGCTTAAAGAATTAAGCTCTCATGGCACTTTAATAGTTGTATTCCTTTCAAGAGTTTAAAACACTAGAGCTACTCTCTCCGGTGTTAGTCGACCCCGATTTGAAAGCTCCTCCTAGAACAAGCCTGCTCCTAGGTGTGAAAGTAATACAACTATTGTGACTTGCATTAACGCAGGTGAATTTCCAGACTGTTTGAAGTTGGCTGTTGTTGTTGCAATATTTAAAAGGGGGGATGATCAGGTTCCATCTAATTACCGTCCAATTTCTTATTTCTTTGTTGACAACACTTTCGAAAATCATAGAAAATATAGTTAAAACTAGATTGGTTGAATATCTACGCAACAATAAACGAAAAGGCGGCAGCGGTGTTTTGTGAATTTTCCAAAGCATTTGATTGCGTGAATCACGGAATACTGCAAGCTGTGATACTGCTTCGCAAAATGAGTCATTATGGTATCAGGGGAAGAGAACTCAAATGGTTCGAGTCCTTAGACCATATAGCACAGACCAGAAGTCCTCTTCTTTTTTTGCTATAAGTAAACGACCTGGCCAAGTTGTCCTTATCAGGAGTATTTGTTATCTTCGCAGATGATACTACAATACTCTGGAATCATAAGAATCAAGATGCGTTAGCACATATGATAGAGCAAGACTTGGGGAAGGTTAAAGATTGGTGTGATGCAAACTGTTTTGTATTGAACATAAAAAAAACAAATATTCATATTAATTTAATATGGTATTATACCACAGATTTCACATGTAAATAGTTTGTTTCTTTTTGGTCGCCAATCTATCAGGAAGTCGATAGAAATATATCAATTTTTCTTTAAGTTTGAACCTAAGGTTTGAACTAAATTGCCTTTTATTACTTTATGTCTGAAGGACTTACTTTTTTTAATTTAAAAAAATCTTCCAACTTTTAGAATGGCTTGTACCTATTTTATAGAGCTTAAAATAAAGAAACCTGAAAATTTGGTTTTTACCTATAATAAAACAATACAGATTAATCTTCAAACCAATATTTATTGAGAAATAAACTTATACATATTCCTACAAAGTTAATAATAAACAGTCGGTAACTAAAAGTAATATTCTAAAGTTATTATAATACTTAAGTACAAAAATAAAAAGATAGGAATCATATCAAAATAATGAATTCATGAACATACTTTACTTCTTCTTTTGTTCAACAGGTTGTCCTTGCTGTTGAGGCTGCACTTTGGCCGGTTCTCCAGTTTGGGTAATTGGAATGGTCTTATGCTCAACTTCCATTTTCTCAACAGTTGGAGCAGTGATGGTCAAAACTCCGTCAGAAGACAACTTAGAAGTAATGTTGCTCATATCGCAGGTCTTTGGCAAAACGTATCTTCGTACAAAATGCCTGGAAATATATCCATGCTCGTCCTGTTGTTCCTCATGTTTCCCTTCAATGGTCAAAACATTCTCGTCGGTAACTTTGACGGTAATATCTTCTGGTTTAAATTGTTGAACATCCAAATTGGCTTGGAACTGACCTTTGTCGAAACTCACTGTGGAACCGGTGTCTTGGTTAGCGAGTCCAGAGCGCCAGTTTCTCAAATAACCAGCCGGGGTTCTTGTGAGCAGACGGTTGTTGATGTTCAAAGGTTGAAAAATGTCATCGTGGTTGAGTCCAAGTCCAAAGTGTTGATCTAGGATTCTGGATGGACGGCTGACTGGGTAGTCAAATGAGTCACTGAGCAAGAATGGAATGAGAGACATTTTTCTTCAATAGACAAGTTTATACTAATTACTGTAGACTCTTTAGGTAGAGGTCAACGTTATTTTCAAGTTTCACGTAAACCGTTTCGCTTCTATACGAACTCTGATCGAGGCAGACGCGCCCGAACAATTTATATGGTGTGTCGATTCCACTAGAATTTGCGCGAAGATGCTCTGTTCTGCACAACAGTTCATAGAATATTGTGTGTGATTGGGATTCTAGTAAATTCTAGGAGGGCTAAAAGGGGTATATTTTCCATAGGAATTAATAATTATATTTCCAGAATATTCTGTATTATCTGTTATTAGGATTATTGAAATAATCGTGTAGAAAAAAATATTGTTTTTCAAATTTTTGTTTGTAATAGGTATAGAGTAGGTATAGGCATAAAACAATTACCTATGTAAAATTGGCGAAATACCTCTAAAACTTCATTTCACTGATAATATTTTATTATTGTTTACATACTCTAAAAATTATATTGATACTTACCGAAGATAATCATAATAATATTTATTTATAGCTTGAAGCTAACATGTTTAATATTTAGAGTTACAGTACAAAATTTTTATTATAGTGCAATATTCTCTTTCACATATCTAAAACAGTCCCTTTAGACTTTCACAGTTCTTCACGTGGTTTGGTAGATCATTGTATAGTATCAGTCCTTTGTGGAACAAGTTCTTCTGGTCGAATGTTCTATGCGAAGGAGCTACCTATTTTGAGTTAATGTAAAATATTTAATTAGCGGTAAGACAATATGTACCAATTCAGTATCTTGCTACAATATTCACTCAGGAATTAGGTAGGTAAGAACCATTCGAACTAAATCAATGACGTTTTAAATGCGAATGCAGGATTATTAACAGGAACTATCCAGAATCCAGGAACAGATCGTCAAAATTTTATTTAATGGACGCGTCCAATACTAATGTGAATAATACTAGTAAAACTATCCAACAAATTTTCAAAACTTTTCCTGGGGCCACATAAGTAATAATCTACAATAAGTATTATCTAATACCTACATAAAAATCAATGTTTGCTTGTTAATAGTTCTTTTTGGACTCTGAAACCGCCGAACCGATCTACTTGATATTCATACCACGTAGTTTCTATATAAAGGGGAGTGTTAAAGGCTACTTTTCATCCCGGAAAAAAAGCACAATTCCTGTGGGATAGATCTGAAGCGTAAAACTTGGGTTAGTTTAAAATAATTGTTTTCGGGGAGGCGTAACACGTAGGGTACAGCTAGTTTAATATAATCCCAGGAAATACAAACGATATAAGTTATTATTATTGGTTTTCCCATACGTTTCTTTATAATTATTCATCCAGCACTTTCTATACTCAATAGCCAATGAACAGTTGTGATAGCAGGATAGCACCAGCATCAAACAGTGGTCCAAGTTTGTGAATTATGCCGGATCAAGGTGATATTGAAAACAGCAATGTAATGTAATAATACCACTTCTTAAAAATACTTATATAGTGGAATGCGATTACAAATACTTATTTTATAGTATATTATTGCGAAGTTGAAACAAAGTTTTGTGAAGTGAGGTTTCAAGAAATTCAATGGTCTAGTAGGTAATCTACTTTATTAAAAAGGACTAAAAAATCGAGGAACCACGTTTTCCATCTCAAAAGTCGATGATATTTGATATGTAGTTTGGTTAATACCATAATACCTACATATATCTAGAGGAGGCTACTCAGTACTCACTACGTGATACTTGGCAGGTAACTTAACTTATGACAGTTATGACTCTAGTTTGGTGAGTACCTACCTACTTGTACAAGTGAAAGTAAACTGGGAAGTTCAAGTCGTTGTGAATGCAAGTTTGTGATTGAATGCGTTGGTGGATAAATATTCATGGAGTTCGAGAGTGATTATCGTATTCCAGGCTGCAGCATGTGTTGTAGTTACCTTTCATAATTAATTGGTAGTTTTCCTGACCGTCAAGTTTCGAAAATAGCTGCCTTTTATAAAAAAATAAAAAAAAGTCTAAACAGTTTCTAAATATGTATTGCCATTAACGATTTTATTTTCGTTAAATCCGCAATAGGAATTTCTTCAGAAAACTCGGCTTGAATACACGTTTTCAGACATCATATGGACTTCGTTTATATTTTTGTGCAAAGCAAGACATGAGTAGCTTCCCAAGTAACAGGATCATTTGATAGATATCTAGAAAAAGCAAGACCCTTTCATACTTCTACTCCATTTCAACCACAAACAAAACAATAATCAAAACTTGTAGTGACTTATACCGAATGTAGCGCTTCGACTTGTCTATACTTGCCATATGCTACTCGCGCCCTTTGACTTTCGACGATTTACCGACAGCTAACGGCAAGTCTTCATACACATTATTAACTCGAAACTTGGCAACTATCACGTAGTGAGTCTTAGCCATAGGTATAAAATGAATAGTTTTGAGAAAATCAATCGTTAAAGTTGTGAATTACCTAATTTGTATAGCTATTAATGTGATTTATCGTAGTTAGTCGAGGTTGGTAAATGTTCCAAATTTTCATGAAAATCATAGTAAAAAATTGCACCTTCATTAAAGTTAATTAAAAATTATTTGCTAGAATCTTCTTCTCCAAAACTTGTTTTGACCTAATTTTTGATTTTTAGCCCACCGCCTAACCGGCGAAGGTTCGATAATTTTACGGAATTTTCTAGACACGAAGGCGGCTGCATATAAATGCTGAGAAGCGGACCCTAGCATCCACAGTAGTTGAGACTTCAAACGCCTGATTTTTAAAAAGTTTGAACTGCAAATAAGTGAAATTTATCATGGCTTTGCTACCGCTCTTGTTAGAGGAAACTTTTCCTCTTCCACGAAGAGATTATTTATCCATATTTGCCCCAGAAGAAGACTCTCTTCGCTTGAGAAACGCTATCAATCAATTGGTAAATTTGGAAAAAGACACTTCCATTACCGTTGACAAGGACCAATTCCAAGCCAACATCGACGTCCAACAATTCACTCCTGAAGAAATCACTGTAAAACTAGAAGATGAAAACAGCGTCACTGTAGAGGGCAAACATGAAGAGAAGCAGGATGAACATGGCTACATTTCCAGACATTTTGTGAGGAAATATGTGCTTCCGGAGGATTGTGACGTTAAAAAGTTGCAGTCGAAATTGTCCAGTGATGGAGTCCTTAGCATTTCAGCGCCGAAAAGAAGGAAAATAACTAAGCAGAAATACAGGGAAATTCCTATTGTGCGAACAGGGCCTTTGAGGAAACTTGGAGCAGGCAAACATAATAAAAATAATGTTTAGATTCTCTAAACTCAATTTACCTACTCTTGTATCCAGTATTATTTAGGATTTGATTTTTGAAGACTTATTTTTTTTGGATGAATATCTCATTTTGTATTTTTATCTTAGGATTAGTTTAATAAATAAAATGCTCATTATAAATAAAGGTATTAGACTCCAATTTTTGCCTTGTCTCATTTGAGAAACTATAGACTACACATTTATTTGGGTGTTTTAGTTTAATCACTTGGTTATTAGCAGACTCATTGTATAGAGATAGAGACATGGTATCCGTTTTTATTAGTCACTAATGAAGAAATATGGTCAGCAAATAATAACTTTAGTACGTACCTGCGTTCGTAATTTCATAGGTAGCTCTAGATTCTTAGACTAGATCAGACTAACAGCCAAAAAACCAATAATTGAAATACTCATTCCCAAATATCAAAAATTATCTCAAACAGTTCACACTTCCTTTTGAAAATAGAAATTTGAAACTGATCAAAATTGTTAATAAAAATATGAAATGAAGTGTTAGATAAAATAATGTCCGTTCTTATCCCAAAAATAATACTGTGTGGGACACCCTCAGCAAGCAGCTCTAATGTCCAGAACATCATCCACTTTATCAATATTTTGATACTGATATATCACCCTTATTAGACATCCTCAAAGTCATAGGATGTCCAGTATAGACTGGGTATAGAGGATAAGATTTTTTTCATATCGGTGCTAGTCTTCCAAGGTAAAAATCAAAAAAACTACAACTAAAATCTATTTTCCGTTTTTTTTTATTGTTTATTTATTATAATCGAATCATGCTTAAATATCCGATTAATAATAAAACATTAAGAGTCAACAACATTGCTTCATTATAATTGCATGTACAAGTACGCTTTTTTCGATCCGCATAAAACAAATCAATTTTAAATATTTACCTACAGGGAGCGACTTACTTGTGAGAAAATTCACATAATTTTTTTTTACAACAAAACATTTTTGAAGAACTACATTTACGTACGTAAGTCTTGATTTTTTCCAAGTATTTGTACTTATTAAAAACCAGAATTTTAAAAATAAATAAATTTATTACAGCTTAAAATAATGTATTTTATAAACAGTACAGCTTTTAGCTAGGCCTGTAAAAATTAATTAATCTGAACAGTGTACCAAAGGACAACGTAAATAAACTAGAAAAAAAAAAAGCTTTTGTAAAAAGTATTTTTTTTTTTGGTTATTATACATGGTACAACAGTTCGGAATGATTTATGTATCAAAGGCTTAACTAAAAACAACATTTAAAGGAGAAAAAATTCATCTAATCGGGTCCCTAGTGAAAGGGACTGCATATGGAGTGTTATACAAAAAAAGTTATGCGCGATACGAGAATTGGTTGGGTTCTTAGACGAGGAGTGTTTTGATTTCGTCGTAGAGAACCAATACGATGGCACCACCAGTACCTCTGAGTACGTTGGAGAAGGCTCCCTTGAAGAAGGCACCACCACCTAAAAGAATAATAATATTAGAAAAATGTCCATATGATTTAGGATATGTCTTAAAAATTACAACTAGATATACTTTCTATAAAGTGAAGTTAGAACAGCTATTTGAAAAATATGTTTTTGCAAAGGGCAAGTTCACTTTTATATCCATTTGGAGTTTTGGCTAGGTGATTAAAAATTGGTTCATACCTTCTTGTTTGGCAATGGTAGCCCAGCAATGAGCTGTACTCTTGTAGATGACATCACTCTTAGAACGTCCAGACTGCATCATCATACGCCTACGTACTGTATCAAATGGATAAGAAATAATACCAGCAATAGTAGTGACAGTCTGAAAAAGAAAACACAAGTTAATAAAGCTTATAAATGTCCAAAATATTTTCAGTAATATTCTTACCTGTGCAATAGCCCATGATACAAGAAGAGGAGTGTTCTTGGGGTCAGGTAAGATACCCTTGGCGGTATCGTAGAATCCAAAGAAGGCAGCTCTGTAGATGATGATACCTTGTACAGATACACCAAAACCTTTGTACAAACCTCCAAGTCCATCTGATTTGAAGATTTTGGTTAAGCAATTACCCAAACCGCTGAATTCACGTTCACCACCACTTTTACCTACATCGGCGGCCAACCTATAGGATTGAAAATATTTTTTGAAATGTAAAATTTCAAGCAAGAAAAAAAATACTAACCTGGTTCTGGCAAAATCGAGAGGATATACGAAACACAAGGAAGTGGCTCCAGCGGCACCACCGGAGGCCAAGTTACCTGCGAAATATCTCCAGAATTGGGTCTTTTTGTCGACACCACTCAAGAATACCTGCTTGTATTTGTCTTTGAAGGCAAAGTTCAATGCTTGGGTTGGGAAATATCTGAGAAAAAAATAGTTGTTATTGGCTATGGAAATAAAATTATTGTGTTATCATTTACCTGATCACATTAGCTGTGTTACCACGCCAGTAAGCCAATACACCTTGTTCCTTGGGGATACGGACAAAACAGTCGACCATACCTGGAAAACAAAGAAAATACAATTAATATAATACAAATTAAGATAACAAATGTCTGTATGTTTGAGGTGGATTTATAATATTACCTTGCATTTTTTGCGACTTACACCTCAATTGAAATTATTACCATCAAGATCAAAAAACTTCTGGTAATAATTTCAATTGAGGTGCAAGTCCCAAAAAATGCAAGGTAATATTACAAATTAAGAACTTACTGATTATTTCTTGTTAATATTTAATTGTTGAGCTTTTCTCACATTTGCACTTGATGAAATGGTTTGAATTTCTAAAAAATAGTTCATGGCTCCAAGAGACCTGTGTTCAATTATGTATATAATATGGAGAAAAACCCAATTTGTGGTCTCAACATTTCAATAGAAAGGTTACATGTTTTGCCTAATATCAGCATCATCAGACCTATAAAAAGAAAACCTCTTACACCTAGAACAAACATAGTACAGAACTATATACCTTCAACTGAACTCTCAGAGTGAGTGTTTCTAATAGACGCATACACTTCAATACATCTATGTTTGTTCTAAGTGTAAGAGGTTTTCTCTTTAAAGATCTGATGATCTTGGAATTTGGTTGAAATTGGCCAATTTTCGATGTTAATCGTGCCTCTTTGTTCAAAAATAACTTATAAAAAGTATTCCTTATTTAACATTGACCATGTTCCAAGGAAGATTATCTCATACAGACACTTTGAGCCTTACGAAAGAATATTTGAATAACTACATATGGGAGCCAGCTACCCCAATCCGATACATACAACACAAAAAAAAATAGCAGCTAGAAAGAAAAAAAAACCTAATGTATTTGAACATAGAAAGTTAAAAACACGAACAATTCACAGATCGCGTAGATCACAAACCAAGCACAACTGTTGCGAAAATTCACAAATTAATTTTGAGTTTGAAAGCAAGAAAAAAATGAAAAACGACGGAGCGATGTAAATACTAGGACGACAGAGAATGAAATATTATTAAACCTTACACTTGCTCTAGACATTTCATTTTATTGCATCAAAATTGGCATGCAAGATGTTCACTTGCCAGGCATGTATAACAACAGAACTATAAGAAAATGAAATAGAAATATAAGAGTTTACATGCCTATTCTACAAGCCGACACACAGGTGGATCATCAATATGTCAAGGGAGAATTTAAATTTAAATAGGTTATTAATACAGTCATAGACAAAAGTATGTGGACTAGTGGAATTCATATAAAAATTAACAACAAACATTATAATGTACCCCCTCCATTCTCCAAATGCAGGCGCCAGTGATTTTCTGTTGAAACTAGAAGATATTTTGCACGAGTATGCAGTTAAACCAGAAACTTTGTTGTTATTAGGAGATTTTAATATAGGCCTTGACAAGGATACATTCTATCCAAGAAAATTTGCAAAAAATTATTGAGAGAAGTGGACTACAACAGTTCACAAGAATTACCAGTAACAAACAGATTAAACATAAAGTACATTATACCTACCCCAAAAATAGCAGATTATTCCATTAGGTATAACAATAATTGATATCCCAGAAGTACTTATTTATGTATTCAAAAAATATCACATATCAAAATATGCACAATTTTAATGAACTGCAGTTTCAGTCAGTAGGACCTATTTGACTGTATATGACTAGAAAATGATCAAAATCTTGATAACATGGCAAGCCTACTAGTAAAAACGATTAAAGAAAAACTTGATCATCATGCTCCTATGGTAGTGAAAGAAATGGTATGTAAATGGGGTAATAAACAAGCAATGGTAGATACCTGAGATTAGAAGAATTTATACCAGAAAGGGATAGAAAATACAAAAGAGCAATAATCACAAACTCAGAAGATGACTGGAACATATCGTCGACAAAAAAATTTAGTAGTGCAAAAAATAAGAGAACAGAAAAAAAAAATTACCACCAGGAAAAAATTGATGAAACTAGAGGAAATTCAAAAGAAATGTGGAAAAACTTAAAAAGCATAATCACCAGTGGCGTGTCTAGACTTTAACAGACGGGGAAGCTGTGGGGAAAGATGGTGAAAGTACCGGACAGGAGAGACTTATAATTTCAGAACCAGTCAGCCATTCACAAGTTTCATATATTTCTTTTTGAAAATGTCTACATAAAGTTTAGTTAAGTGTTCCTAATAAATCCTCGAGGGGAAGCTGTGCTTCCCTAGCTTACATGGTAAACATGCCGCTGATAATCACTGACAATAAGAAGTGTGAAAGTACAAATGAAACTTTGTTCAATGGCCAACCTAAAACAGATAGCATAGAAATTGCTAAACATTTTAATGATTATTTTGTGGATAATATAGATGCTTTGTCCACTGTGCTAGATCCAGCAGCAAGTCAAGAAATACCTAATAGGATTGTGACGCCTACAAGTAGGTTTGATAAATTCAAGCAACTATTGTGTCAGAACTGAGAAAGATAGTAAACAACTTTAGCAATAAAAAAAACTAGCATTGATGGCGTAAACACTGGAATTTTAAAACTAGCATTTGAAGTCATTGGTAACAGATTTCTACAACTGATAAACCAAAGTTTAGAAACTGTATGATTTCCTGAAGACTGGAAAACATCTGTGATTGTCCCTATAGAGAAAATAAGTGGTACTACTAAGTGTGAGGAACATCGACCAATTAATATGATGGCAACATATGAAAAACTCTTGGAAATTGTTGTAAATAATCAAGTCCGTGAATATGTACAGGAAAATAGGCATCTAACTGATGCTCAGGCAGGATTTAGAGTCAGATATTCCTGTGAGAGTGCCTTGCAGACACTTATTTCTGAATGGAAAATTGCACTAGACTGCAAAAAATTAGGTGGGATGACCACGGTGTTCCTCAGGGAACCTTATTGGGCCCAGAACTGTTTGTGCTCTATATTAATGATATTTTCATGGTTGTCAAGAAATGCAAAATACAGTTGTTTGCAGATGACACTATACTTTTTGTGGAGGGTGATACAGTACAGGACATTGTAAACTTGTTGATTGAAGATTTAGAAATTATATATAGGTGGGTTGTGCATAACAGTTTAACGATTAACATAAATAAAACAAAATCTATGGCATTAAAATTAAAATATAATGTAATTGATACTTACAATCATGATGGTGTAATAACTGATGACTGCAAAATCGAACAGGTGAATGAATGTAAATATTTAGGAATAATTATAGACGAAAGAATGCATTTTCTAGTCATGCAACTTTTATGCCAGAAAATCTATCCAGAAAAATTAATTTATTATGTAGAATAGGAAAAGATCTAAGTTCTTAGACAAAATTACTTATTTACAGAACAGCTCATTTTAATTATTGTTCCACCATATTATAACTTTTAACAAGGGGGATATAGGCAACATTCAGAAAAAACAAAAACAGACATTGAGATGTATCTTGAGATGTAATAGGTATAGCAGAATAAAAGACATGTTAGAAGCTACAAATTTGTTAAATGTAAAACAACATGTATTTTTCAATACATTGATAGTAATGTATAAAATCAAAAATAACTTGTATCCAGAACATATATTAGATAACTTGCAAACAGTAGGTGATATACATAACTAGAATACTGGATCAATTTTAAATTTTTATGTATCTAGGCAATCTAGGGTAAATTCATCTTTTGCTCAGAGGATAGTTTATTTTACAAAGGTCCAATTGATTTCAATTATATTCCAATAGAAATAAAAAATTAAAATTTGATTAACCCCACAAGACTGTTAAGAAGATATATAGTAGAGAACAGGGAACCATAGTATATAAGAGATATGTTGTACCTGTTAAAATGATTTTTTTTAGCTTATGCCAATAATAAAGATTATTATTATTATTGTACTGCCATTTTATAAGTGTGATAAAGGCCTTATAGTGTGTGTTTGTTGAATACTTTGTTTTACATAAGAGAGCCACGAGATATTTCCATTTCTGCAAGAATAAGTTTAGGGATTCCCTGACTTTATTTCTAATAGAATTTTGACATTGCCATGAAAGTGTGTTTTTGTTTTCAACATGCTGCATAATGTTTAAAAAATACTTAAAAAATTTAACATTAATTTACCCATTTTATCTTCAAACCAAACAAAATTATCTTTCATTGCATATAAGAAAAAACCAAAACTTTCAAGTGTTTGGAAGAAATGCTACTTAAAGATTTTTTGACATCAAAGGCATATTACTCTAATAATGAAATTTTTGATGAAAGATTTGAATGACCTCGATTTTGATTCCTTTATATTTTTGTTTATTTGCCCTCTCTGATCCTTGCTGATTTTATTTAGTAATTTTATTACAAGATAATACTTTCTCCTGTAGTTTGTATTATTGTTGTAGGCCTTGTTCATATATTTTTTATTATTGTCATTGTTTTCTTATGACAATAAAGCATTTTTTTCTATGCTTAGTTTTGACTTTGAGCAGTGCCAATGTGGTCAATATGAATCGAGGTATGAATAGAAAGAAATAAAAAAACTTCCTGTAATTACAATAAGGTTGTTTGGTGCACTTTCCTTGTTTGATGTCTAAAAATGGAAATGCCTATTTGCCAAGAAAAGCATGATGAGAAATAATTGATGCTAAACAGACTTGGGTAGTATGTAGTATCCAAATACTTAGTAGTGTGAATTTTATTCAAGCTACTTTTGTGTTTATCCGTATTCAAATACATTCCGTATTCTGGATTCAACTTACCGTTTTTTGTGGTATTCATGATACATAAATGATGTCCATAATACATGAATACTGACAATATTGAGGATAATACTGTTATAGTTACCTATATAAACATTTGTAGGGTTTTGTATTTTTTGGTTGTATAATTATATTAAAAAATGTAAGAGCTTTTAATTGTTTAGCATATTTGTTTTTCAATAGGCATTCTGGATGTAACCAATATATGGAAAAATAATATCAATTTATCCAAGGATTCAAATATATTGTATACGAATAATTTTTCAATCTAGTAGGCATAATATTCAGAATTCATGCAAATACTGAATTTCACAAATTCAGTAGGTACCTATTCCATTTTAGGTCTGTTCTCACAGAATTCACAAATCGTCAGATCGTTTTTGTTTGGTGCAAATCGCCAGTAACCAGTTTTCTGACTATTTTCAACAATTTCAACCAATGGGATCCGCTCTAACTGATTTGGGATTTTTGTGAGAACAGACCTATTGATGGAATACTCTTTCAGAGATTGTCTTGGGATTTGGGTCAATACCTAAATAGTAAAATTTAAATGCCAAGAGCTTGAGTGATTTATTTGCATGAAGCTAGAAGTCTAATTTATATCTTGTTTCTCAAATAAAATCGCTTGTCAGTACTTTTTTCTTTCGAAATTTAAATTTGTTTTTATTCTAAAATAATACAAATCGTCCTCACACTGGTTTCCTTTCATGAAATCAGAAAAAAAAATACTCAAAAAAGAGGAAAGATAACATCAAACAACTCATAATTTATTTGGAGACAACAAAAAAAGATTAATAATTTATTTGCGTATTTTTTATGTTAGGCCTATGGTTTTAAGACTTTCCCAGACCCTTAGGAATCCTCAGATGATGTTCCTGGTTCCTGAACTACTACAAGCGAAGTAATCCATTTACTCGACCCTGATATTTGTATAAATTACATAATGCATCTAAAATTGGCTAATCTTCCACTACGCCTTTAGAACTTTATCACACTGCCAAATAAAAATCCGCGTAGTAGGCTATCTAATTATGACGTCAAAGACAAGCCACCTCGTAAGCTATTGTTCTCATTCATGATCAATTATTCGTGCCAATAGCCAATTCATTGATTTTTTCAGTAGACTTTTAGAATTGGGTCTTAAAAATAGGTTAAAATGTTATCTAACCGTGTCCTTAGGTAACATAGTTTGGAAAACTTGGCACCATTTTGCATTTCGCTTTTGTATCGATCACACCCGTGCAAAGTGTCAATGGCGATGTTGCCAACTCAGAATTCAATTTTTTGTGTTTTTTTTTTAGAATTTCGTAATAATCTCCAAAGATAACGAATCGTCAGCAATATGAAGCTATTATGAATATAATTATAAAAAGTAGATACAATTTTTTGAGGATCGAGAAAGAAAAGGTGCCGGCTTAGTTGAATGGCAACATCGCGCAAAGGCCAGCCACGCGTTCATGATGACGTCAGGAACGGTTACCCAAGACCGAAAAATTCATCGATTGATAATTTTGCATTTTGCGATAATAATTGAACCATTTCTGATAATTTCAAATACAGATATGGAAAAGCCACCAAATATCAGTGATGTGGAGACCTTGAAAAATTGAAGGGGACATTCATCACGCGGTAAGGAAAATGGCGTGCCCAGACAGATAATTGAAATTCCCATTTGGAATAACTAATTGGATTGATCAATGAATGAATTGAATGCAAATCGGCTTTTTAATGTAAGAGAATTCAACAATCAATAGATTTTTGGTGATAGGATAAAGGAGGGTAACGGTTATGTAATCACCACTCTAAAAAAGCCAGGACACATAAATTAGTCAAAAAACAGTAAAATAGAAGCAAAAAAAACTCAAATCTTACCCTTGTAACGTTGATCCTCTGCGATTTGTTTCGAGATGTGCTGGACTTGCAAAAGCAATTTTACACGTTCGATTGGGGCCACACATGTTTTGGACACGGCGGCAGAAACACCTCCGGCCATGAAATCTTTCATAAAGGCAACGGGATCAGCGAGAGACATTTTGTTGTTGGGTTTTAGGACTTCTGTTCAATTAATTAATTAGGGTATCGACGACGATTTTAGCCCAGGTGTATTCGGACCGCGCACTGAACTGCAAGTGAACGAGAACAGTGCAAGCAGAAGTGAGAGGAGAGGGCGCCGGTCATGTGTTCTCGCCTTGCCTTGCCAGAGCTGGGTACCGGAATAGATGCTGCGCACGCACTAGAGTGACGTCCGTTTTTGAACAGTGAAGGCGAACGAGTAAGGTGAAGGATAGGACAGATAATTTCAGGGACCCTTATGTAATTTAATGACGATTAGAACTAATCCACCAAAGTCCATTCTGGTAAGCCGAGAACCTGGAACACCACGAACAGCTACTACCAAAGTGCAACTCGAATAAAATTAATTTCGAAATTCAAGAAGGTTTTATGAAGAAATTCGCAAAGGCTACACAGGTAAGATAGGTACCTGCAAATGAAGAAAATCAAAGTTAATTAATTGGAATCAGACTCCTTTTGTTCCATTTATAATTAAACAGTTCCCAGGCGTAACAGATAACAACACTGGAAACATCGATAGTTCTCTACATGCACTTTGATATTTTATCAAAAAAATATGTCCAGATGGCTGAATGTAGGCAATATTCAAATGTACAACTATCTGAAATGCATGCCCTTATTGCATTGCGTATCGTCATAAGTGATAATGTATTGGATTAGTTAGTGGGTAGGTACCTACTCTTGGAATATGTAGTTTTTTTTTTTGGCGGGGAAGTCTGAATAAACTCCGAGTAGCGCTGCAGCCTAGAGGCTTTTTGTGCTAAATATTCCTTTTAATGCACCCATTCCAAAACCCAGGGGCCCAATTCTTGAAAAATATCGCATACGCAATTTTATTCGAATTTGACAGACAATGTAAATTAAATGAGATGCGTTCGAATTCATATCGAATTCCGTATGCGATACTTTTCAAGAATTGGGCTCCTGGTTCCCTGCAGAAGGCGAAGTAGGTCTGTTGGCTGTTTGCCGTATGTGTCTGGATCTAGTTCATCTTCTCCAAAATATTTTGTCTCCTGCAAGTTAGTGCATTGCATTCTGATATAACATGTTGGGCTGTTTCGGTCTCTGTTTCGCATAGTCTGCAGCTCGTTTCTCCGTTGTTCAAAACCATTGTTTTGCAGGTGCTCAGTAAGAAAGCCAGTTGCTAGTCTGAGTTGTTACCTGCTGAGTTGTAGCAGTCTTTTTGCTCTTTTGCTGCATGTCTCACGTATGAAGATTCTCGTATGTTCATGCTTGGGTATTTGTTTCCATTATTGAGCATGTTTTGCTTTGATCCATTCCTTCAGCTCCTTTCTTACTGTGCTTTTAGACACTCCGAGAGCAGGTTCGGGACCAAGGCATTCTGTGGATGATTCGCTGCGTGCAAGTTCATAGGCCTTTTCGTTGCCCGGGACACCTCTATGTCCTGGCACCCACATCAATGTGACGGTATTTTGGTCCGCCAAGCTGTTGAGTTCTTCCTGGATTCTATTACCAGTGCAGAGATTGCCTTAGGGTTCTTCAATGCTCCTCAGTGTTGCCTGACTGTGAGTAAAGTGAGTCTCCTGTCTTTGCAGACCCTCATATTGTCGATTCTTGCGAATGTAGTATTACATATACCTCTGCCTGGAAAACAGATGATGTATGTGACCCTAGAGAGAAGAAGGTCTCGCGCGAAGATTCCTGCGCCTGTGCCATTCCAGTCTTTGACCAATCTGAGTACCAGGTCTGGCCTTTGAAATTGGAAAGTGCATGTTGGTTTTCCCATTCCTCCCTTTCACTTATTAGGACTTGGAAGGATATGTCGGGTGAGCATTTGGGAAGTGCATAGTCAGTAATCATATCGAATACTGTCAGATTTATGACTCGTTGATGTGCTTTTCATGCGCCCTGTAATGCCCAGACAGGCAAGTGTTTGCACCCTGCCAAGTCTGATTTTGACCCTGTCTTGTTGTGTCCTTGTCCACGATATCAAAGATGAATAGGTTATCGCTGGCTTTATAACCGTTGTGTACAGCCAGTGCATCATGTCCGGCCGCAGCCCTCATGTTTTTCTGAAAGTTCTCCTGGCCAGTGCCAGTTCTGACTTTTTAATTACTTTGTCCAGATGTTTGTTACAAGTTAATTTTGAGTCAAGATATTTAACTTCGTCCGAAATCGTAACTGGGTTTCCATGAAGGTAAAGAGGTCCAAGTCCCTCCATTTTCCTTCTTTTCGTAAAGGGGACAATTGTCGATTTGGTGGCACTAATTTTGAACCCTACAGTCTCAGTCTACCTAGCGACCATTGTTAGAGCCTGCTGCATGCGATCTCTAAACTGTATGGTTGAATTTTCCCTGGGATATTAGGACCAAGTCATCTGCATATCCCTCTCCTTGATGGTTGTTGCTCTTCAGTAGCTCTAACAGCTCGTCCATTACCAGATTTCACAGCAGGGATGATAACACTCCGCCTTGCGGACATCCCTTTGCAACCCGAGCCGTTACTGTTTTACCTAGGAGCGTGGAGTGGATGACTCTACCTACTATCTATCTGCAGCATGTATCATCAATACCTCGTCGGCGTAGAGCTCTCATTATTACCTGAAAGGAAGTGTTGTCAAACGCTCCCTCTATATCAAGAAAGGCTCTTAACATAACTTCCTCATTTTCCAAAGTACTTTCTATCCGCTGGACGAGGTGATGTAGTGCTGTTTCAGTCGAGGTTCCTGCTTTGTAAACATATTGGTCCGGATGTATTGGTCTGGTAGCCAATTCAACACCGCGAATGTGGAACTCAAGCAGTTTTTCTAGAGCCTTAAACAAAAATGACATGAGGCTTATGTGTCTCAGAGGTTTTGCATTGTCTTGAATTATTTTGCCAGGTTTGGGGATGAAAACAAAACAACTTTGATTTCTTTCCAGGCTTTGGGAATATAATTTAGTCCCAAACTTGCTCTAAATATAATCAGGGGCCTGGAGTATAGCCACAGCTTGTATAGCGTGCTATTGCATTTTTGTAGTAATACATACTGGATAAATCCCATCTGGTCCTGACGATTTATATAACTCGAATGAGTCAATGACCCATTTCAGCCTACGCCATGTTACTACTTTTTTTGCCATCTGCCAGTCTTCCCTGGTGCCATATCTGGTTGTGGCTACGTCTACATAGTGACGGTTTTCAAGGTTTTCTTCAAGGATCACACAATAAATACCTATGTACATATGTTCTTGTTTTTCCATAAACCATTTTCTTCATCTGGTCAAAAATAATAATCCAGATGAATGTACTGATAGATCCGCGATTCGCCTACGAATGGATGCAGTAAGAAAAAGCTATATTGAATTGAGAGTTGAAGAAAACCTCTCGATTGATAGGTGATGGCCGTTAACACTCTCCGTGAAAGCTAAGCTACGTGGGCTTGTAACTCATCGATCCTACGATGGATGTATACCATGATAGTGAGACCTATCATCACCTACGGAGCGGTAACCTGGTACAGCCGAACCCAGCTAGTAACGGCTAGGAAAACCCTAGGAAAAGTACAAAAACTCGCATGTCTATGCATAAAAGGAGCAATGAGAACATGCCCATCCGCGGCAATGGAAGTCATCCTAGACCTAACACCACTTCACACAATAGTGAAGCGGGTTGCCAGTGAATCATGTCTAAGAATGGCGAAGATAGGTCTACAAGGGAAAACGCACTTTGGCAGAGCTTTCCCTCTCCCAAACTGTGCACACCTCATGGACTTACCAAAAGACGTGATTGAACAGATGGAACATAGAATGTATCCAGTCCCTTGAAGCAAACACCATCAAATGGTTCACAGACGGCTCCAAAACTGCTGAGGGGACAGGAGCCGGAGTATTCGGGCCACGAACCAGATACTCGAAGCCAATGGGCAAAGCACCAAGCATATTTCAATCGGAAAATGTGTGCAGTTCAACCTGAACAGAAGGTACCGAAAACGAGAAATTGTGATAATGTCTGACAGCCAAGCAGCTATCAAAGCATTGAGCTCGCCGGTAATCAATTCTAAGATAGTATGGAAATGTCTACAGACACTCAATGAGCTGGGGAAGGAAAACAAAGTAACCCTACTCTGGGTTCCTGGACACATAGGAGTCGAGGGCAATGGTTGCGCAGACGCACTTGCAAAAACGGGAGCGGCCACTCCCTTTACTTGGCCAGAACCATTCTGCGGCATCGGAAATGCGCACCTGCAAGAAATCCTCAAAAAGGAAGAGAACCGGCATAGGAACAAACAATGGCTAGACCAACCAGGACTACGACAGGCCAAAGATCTACTGGGTAGCTACAACCAAAAAAGATCTGAACTGCTGGTCAACCTTAGCAAGAAAAGTCTCAAAACTCTAACCGGATTTCTCTCGGGACATTGCAGACTGAATAAGCACCTACATAATTTGGGGTTGGAAGAAGCAGCTTGCAGATTCTGTGAAGAAACACCTCACCATCTTCTACTGAACTGCTATGCCGTAAGTCGCTCAAGAATAAAGAACCTGGCAAGTCCCCTTATACAGCTGGAATACATTCCAGCCCTGGAACCGCTAGACATCTTGAAATTCCTAAAGGACCTAGGACTAGAGGGGCTGCTTTAAGCAAGAAACCCGAACTTAGCAGCAGAAGGAGGGGTAAAATAGATCAACCTTGGTCGCAGTGCAACTGACACCTCCAACACATACATACATACATACATACATAAGCTACGTCAGCCTAGTACTTCGCAGAAAACGAAGAGATAAATTATCTCTTATCACATTAAATGTGATTTTTTTTGGCTCGAAGCGCGACGAAAAAAAGTTCATCAATTTTGGACAAGGAAGCGAAGTTGTAAGTACTGCATGTAGTAGAAGTACCTATGACTTTACACAAATTATTTCTTATCGAGATAAATATAGAAAAAAGTATTTACGCTGCTAGTAAATAGACTCCTTCCACTTTTGAAAGACAGAAAAAAAAGGGTATTCAGTAAACAAACAATTAACCATAAAATGCTTAATTCTAGTGTCAGTAACACGAACGAAGTACAAGATGAAAATCATCCATGGAATGTTAATTATCAAGAAGCAGGCCACGTTAAGCCTATATTTTACCAATAAAAATATCAGCCGAGATCAAACAAAATATTAGTCCGAAAAAAGCTCCAGGATAGGTATTGTTAAACTACGCATCCTTTTCAATGCGTCCTTTAGGCTAGAGCGTACCT